TCCCTTCTCCAGTACTGTCTATAGCATTACCAAACCAAACCTTCAACAAATGGCATTTCATTTTCCAAACAATGGGACTCAGCATGTAGAGCTGTTGGCTTTTGGTTCACTTTTTGAGGCTATCCTGTAGCTAGTGAGAAAGCACACTGTGACTGGCAAATGTCCACATGGCAGGTTTAAGTGCTAAGACCTTGGTGGCTATGACGACTTGCAACCTTGAAGCAGTGTGATGAAATAAATCAGATGATTAACTCCCTAGCAATGCATGGGGAACCACTGAGGGGATAAAAACCTGAAGACTTTTCTTATACTTGGCCTTCTAGGTTCTCTTGTTTCTCCCATACTAGCTCAATCTGATGTGAACTGAGTCAACACAGAGATTTCTGTTTTTAATGTAGGTCATGATTTGCATGAGATATATATATATATATATATATATATATATATATATATATATATATAAATAAAGCTAAGGAAATTTGCACAGATTTACAGAGGGTTTTAAAAAATAACTTGTACAAATTGTGGCATGTTTGCACAAACCATGGGAACTGCAAAGTATGACTGAAAGGAATAATTTAAACACTTTCTATTTGATGAGCCCAAATCGAGATAACTCTAGTGGAAAATTGTTGCACTGATGCTGAACCACTCAAAATTGATGGCGATGAATTCTTGATGAAGTAGGAAATATGGCAAATTAATGACAAAGTAGAGAGAAGATAATACTGACAAGGGAATATGCTGCACTCAGGTTTACGTAACAGTCTCGCGGATAAGATGGAATACTGCAAACAGCACAAACCCATTCTTGCAGATTTAAAGATGCAGACCCCACTTGTGCAAAAGACCCAATCTGTGCAAATCACCATTTATGCAAATGGTGTTATAGATATGCCGTTCTCTGTGTGCAACTATTCCGTGCACATTTCCAGAACCCTCCCCTTCCCCGCCAATCTGGCACAATCCATTCTGACTGTCATCTGGGAAATGCTGTAGAAGTTCATAAGGCTTACATAGGATGGCTTTTCCAGTGTCACACATGCCTTCTCCTCCTCCGTAATGGACACTGGCGGAGTCCGTGGGAACGCAGGATGTAATTTAATTGTCATCTGTAAAAGAAACTTGCACACATCCTGCAGCAGAACACATGCAATAAAGGCATAGCTGGGACTGGATGTCACATTTGTCTCCTATACAGCAGTGCGAGTCCCTCCTCTTGCTCCTATATAGGGAAATGTCTGCATTAAACGAAAAGCAAATGCTACATTACCTTGGTGAGTGTATATTCTGAACTAGTCATCTGCTGTGGCAACAGATGAAGGAATATTTGTAGATGAAAATTGGCACGGAGCAGGAGAATGCTTAACTTCTGTGCTTGCTAATTCTCCCTCTCAAAATGCTGCCCTGCTAATTTCCCCCTCAGCTGGGCATACTTTGAATGTTGGAACTCAGTGCAGGAAAGGAATTAATACAGCCTGGAGTACATTTGCAGGGTAGAAGGGGATGGTTAAACATGCCCAGATGCTCACTGCGTCTTCCCTGCATGTCTTTTCCGGCCCCGTGTTCTTATGATGAGGAAACGAGGTGCTTATAGAGTGTAGTTCTATAAGAGTGTAGTAGTTCTATCCTTCTTGCTTAGACATTTGGGAGCAAAATAACTTGGTTGATTTATTTACAGTGCAATCCTATGGCTGCTAGGCAAGTGTAGGATTTTTTGAAGAATCATGTCCAGGCATACCTTGGAGATATCGCAGATTCCGTTCCAGACCATTGCAATAAAGTGAATATCACAATAAAGTGAATCACACACATATTTTGATTTTCCGGTGCATATAAAAGTCATGCTTACTACACTGTAGTCTGTTAAGTGTGCAATAACACTTAAGTCTAAGAAATATACATACCTTTATTAAAAATACTTTATTGCTGAAAAATGCTAAACATCATCTGAGCCTTCAGCGAGTCATAATCTTGCTGGTGGAGGTTTGAAATAATGTGAGAGTTACCAAAATGTGACACTGAGATGCGGAGTGAGCAACTGCTGTTGGGAAAAGGATGCAGATAGATTTGCTTAAGGCAGGGTTGCCACAAACCTTCCATTTGCAAAAAAACCTGGAATCTCTGAGAAGTGTAATAAAGCGAAGCACAATAAAATGAGGTATGCCTGTAGATGGATCCTGAGGTTGCAGTGCCACCTTCCCACCACCACTACCTGGTAATTGCAGAAGGAGCTGCAATATGTGTATCTCTGAGGTCTGAAACGCAATCTTGGAGACAAGGTTTAAGGGCCACTCTGGGACAGGAGAAGCAGACAGGTACCTCCTTTAATTGAACTATCCTGGGGGTACCTCACCCCCTTTCCGTCATGCTCCAAGGTGAAACTTTGACCATCAACATATTTTGCGGGGTGGAAGCGTGGAGAATATTTATTTATTAAATTTGTATAAAAGCCGTGTGTTAGCATCATGCTTTTTGGGAGGCCATTACAGTAGCAATGTCAATCATAACATTAAATTCTCTACCAAAAGAGAAGCTCAGGGCAGCCAACAGTGACATTCAGATTTTTGTTAAAAATAGCATAAAATCCATTAGAAAAACAAATACACAGCAATACAAGAAATAAATAATTCCACCAATAATTTCAACCCCCTCTTCAGCAACAGACCAGCTTATATGCAGGAAGCCCATGTGAATCAAGACTTGCCTGCCTGCCAGTGGAAGTGGAACAGAGAGGCAGTTAACCTAGCCTCCCTCTGTCATTTAAATCAAAGTGATGTTTTCTTTAGTCATTGCCTTTGAGGCCCTTCCCTTGCAACCTCTGAGCATTTCTTTTGCAGCAGATTTCTTGTTTCTACTGCTTTTAAAGGAGTAGTGCGCTCAACAATGGGGTAGGATTCCAAAACAAGGCTTGTTGATATGCCCCAGGCAGTTTTTCAGGATTGCTGCTCTTTTTTTGCCACATAATTATTTATTATTTTTGTTTGGCTGGTGTGCCTGGTAGAACTTTATGGACATCCAGAAAGCATCTTTGAACTTTTACTCGGTGCTGTAACAGTTAAATAATTGGAATAATGGGAGTGGCAGTCCAACACATTTAGAAAACACCAGCTTGGGGAAGGTTGGGGTAAGTTTTCTTAGACCAGAGTCCACTTCATCAAATGCATCAGATTCATTGGGTGCAGTGGGCAGCTGAGCCAACACACACGGCCTACTTTTAATCTTACGCATCCAAGCAAAGGCTTGGCTCCTTAGTACGTGCTCAGAGCAAGGCTCAGCACTGGCATGGAAAGCACTTCCTTATTCATTTCCTAGGGAAGGTAATTTGAACACATCTTATCCTTGCATGCACTTTCCTTTGAGGACTTGGCATGTATATAGAAATGAGTCAATGTATTACAAGGGTTTTTATAAAGAGGCACCGGATATAAATTGTTTACACACACACACACACACACACACACCAAGTTGCTATATCTAAATCTGTCAACAGGGTTTCTTTGGATAATTCCCTGGTGGAATATATGTGGCATGAACTCTGTACAGGGACAGGTGATACATTTACAAAACTAGAGAATTTCTGTAAATTCTGGCTGGTCTGATTCTGTGAGAAATCCAAGGGCTTAGAGTTCTTCTGCACAGGACTGTTAACCCACTGTATCTACATTCTTTTTATTGCAGAATTTAAATCTGCACTCTGCACAAAGAGCTTCTAATTGCCCTGGTCTTATGCTCCATAACCCCTAGGTAGTGCCAAGATATAGCAGAATAATGCAATTACACAAGTAGGAAAATGTGCTTTCTTTTGCTTTCAGAAATAATAGTCCATTTTCTCTGCTCTAATTGAAACAAAAAAAAAAAACAACAACAACTCAGAAGTGAAACCAGAGGTCACATTGTCATTTAAAGAACCTATAAGCAACAGAGCAGGGAATGGCGAATATACCATAAATGCCTCAGTCAGAAAATTTAGTGGCATCCAAGAAGCTCCTAGTGCTTCACTCAGCATCCAATCCAAGAGAGATCACCCTAATCTGCATTGCAATGTTGCTCCTTTGCACAATCTTTTTGATTTCAGGGATGCACTTAATGCTGGTTTGATGCATGCACCTACATGAGAGCATGCCCCTACATATGTACATGCGCGCGCACACACACACATTCCAGTGATCCAGGCACAGATCCTGATGATGGCTGGATGAGGAAGTACAGATCCGACTCTATTCCCTCCCTCAACACACTTGGTGCAGATGACTCTTCACAGGTGCTTCTAGCAAGGAAAACGCCACCTGCATCACTATATCTGGGGGGAAGGAATTCTGTGGGGACTAGGATAAAGCTCAGGGCCCATTGGTGGGCCACAGTTAAGGTAATCAGGAGCTGCATGTGGTTCTCTGGGACACAGGTAGTACACCTGGCCTTGCAATGAGGTGGGATCAAAAATGCTCCAAGCGCTGCACTCTGGAATGCTTTGTAAGAGATTATAAAGTAGAGCAATGGGAACATGCGGTGCAGACCACAAAATGTCTGATGCAGGCCCTGGTGATCAAGAATAATTTTGATAGTATCTGGAGCCACCACAGACTGGGAGTTCATAGTAGAGCGAGAATCCACAGGGCTGCAACCTTTGAATGGGTCATGGAAATGTCATGGAGAGGTAAAAATTCCATTTGGTGAGGAAGGGCAAACACTGGGGCTTGATTACTCCCCTCACAACCAGAGGGTCCTGTCCTGAAGCCCTAATGCCTCCCATGTCCTCGCTGCCCCACAGCACTCACTTTTCCACTGTTTTAGAAAATATGCTCCATGCAAAAGAGCCACAGAGCTCCATAGGGAAAGGATTCACCAGCTGACTCCTAAAGGTCCTGAATGAGTGGAATCCTCGCTCACTGGCTTGATTTCCAGCTATTCATGTGCTTTCTAAAATGAAACAAATTGCTCATGTTTGACCAGTGGCTGCACTATGCATTTTACTGATGCCTTTTACCTCTTCCATACAGTTTTTGCTCGCATCCTGAAAGCTCCTGAATCCTACAATGTCAGTTTTGGCTCTGTGGTAACTCTGCGATGTGCAGCAACAGGCATCCCAACTCCAACCATAACATGGCTTGAGAATGGAAAAGCTGTAAGTGTCCTTGCTGTTCCTAAGATCTGGTAATCGGAACCTGAGTAATTCTTTCACCCAGGTTTCCTGTTGGGTTTAAAACCAGGAAGACAGTAACAGGGAAAAGTTAAAAGGTTTTGCAGTGCTGAATGAATATGTACCTCCTACTTGTTTGTGCAACTCTGCTGTCTTGGGGTACTTACTGATAAGTCTTGAGTCCATCTTGACTGAAAAGCAACTTGTTAATATGAAGCCTCCCCTACCTAGCAACGCCTCCCCTTTTCACGACTCTGGTGCGCCCACAGCTGGAGTGTGGTGTTCATTTCTGAGCCCCTCATTACAAGAGGGATATAGCAAGGTTGGAATCAGTGCAGCGAAGGGCCACTAGGATGGTGGCTGGTTTGCAGGGAGGAGAGACTGAGGGAGCTGGGTCTTTTCAGCCTTGAGAGGAGGAGGCTCAGAGGGGACCTGTTAGCAACATGCAGTATGTGAGGGGGTGCCTCGTAGTGATGGGTCATGACCTTTCCCCCCAGCAGTGGAGGGCAAGATGCATTCCAATGGAGCAAAGCTCAGGGTGGATTTAGAGTGGATGCCAGGAAGTACTTCCTGACAGTTAGGACCCCTAGGGTATGGAATGGGCTTCCACAGGAGGTGGTTGAAGCGCCATCAGTGAGGGTATTTAAGGATAGGCTGGACAGGCACATGGTAGGCATGTCATGAGTGGAGCCAGCTGGAGCCAGGGGTTAGACTAGATGACTTAGGAGGCCTCTTCTGATTCACTCTGTTTCTATGTTTCACTGCATATTTCACATAGCTGGGCTTGACTGTTGAGTTCTATGGCAACTCCAATGTAAGAAAATGTGGTTGTCCACCAAGAACAAGAACAAGAAGAACACCACCAGCAGCAGCAACAGAATAGTGCTAGTTAAGACTCATTAGATGGAAGTGCAAAATTAATGCCTAGAATGCAAAGATGTTTGCGTGATCTTCAGGAAGTGTCATCGCTCTGTGGCAGCACACATATTTTTCATGTGGAAGGTCCCAGGTTCAGGACCTGGCATCTTCAGGCCAGCCCAGGAAAGATCCCAGTCTAAAACCCTGAAGAACTTCCGCCAGTCAGTGCAGACCAGGCATGACCATCCCAAGACGTCAGTAATGAGACAGTATATAAAAGCTTAAATAAAATAAAATAAAAGAACAACTTCTAGGAACCAGTTTCCACCTGTAGCCTACTGGTGGCCTCCACCCTCGCAATCACCAGTTTCAAATTGTGGTTAGATCTTGGTGGAAATTTGGCAGTGAGGAGAAAAACACCTTAAAACAAGGCCTGCAGAGAGTATTCTTCTTGCTTTTAACACAAATTTGTGTTCCTGGAAGCTGTGAGGAACACGGTGTTACATTAAAACAAATCTTTTTTTCCTCCTTATCACTAAATCTGATGGCAGTTTGGTAGCAGTAGGACTCTGGGGATGGCAGGGCTGCAAGAAAGGACATGGGGATGACATAAAGCATCCTCATGGTGCTGGCGATATTGCTCTAGATCAGGGGTCTCAAACTCGCGGCCCGCGGGCCAATTGCCGGGACGGGCAGGGCATGGGGGAGGGGCCCTGCGGCCTTCAAAGCGCCGGCAGCGCCCGGGCCGGCCGCAGGATGAGCGGCCCACCACCACCGCTTGATGCGGCCCAGCCTCACCCAGACTCTACTTCCAGCGGCCCCCAGGTAAGTTGAGTTTGAGACCCCTGATCTAGATGGACCAGTCATCTCATTCAGCATGGAGCGTGGACACACTCTGGACCTGGTATTCACGACGGGGCAGGAAGAGGATGACCTGAGGGTGAGGAACTTATGTTTGACTCCCCTGTCATGGTCGGATCACTTCCTGGTGAGGTTTGTGCTCGAGAGCAGCCTCCCCCTCTATAAGAGTGCGGACCCGATTGTATGGGCCTGCCCCCGGAGCCGGATGGATCCGGATGGATTCCTGAAGGCCCTGGGGGAGTTTCCGGCGGACAAGACTGGTGCTCCTGTCGAGGCTCTGGTCGAACTGTGGAACGGAGAGATGACCAGGGCTGTGGACACGATCGCTCCCAAGCGCCCTCTCCCACCAGGCAGAGTCCGCTCTTCCCCTTGGTATACACCTGAATTGCGGGCGATGAAGCGGGTTGGGAGACGACTAGAGCGTAGGTGGAGGAAATCACGGGATGAATCTGACCAAACACACTTGAGAGCCCACTATCGGGCCTATGCTGTGGCGGTGAAGGTGGCGAAAAAGAAGTTTTTTTCCGCTTCCATTGCCTCCTCACAATGCCGTCCGGCGGAGCTCTTTCGAGTGGTGCAAGGCCTGGTTCGCCTGGGTCCTAAGGAAGATCCGATGCCACCCTCAAAGGCCCACTGTGACGACTTTGCCAGGCATTTCAGGGAGAAAATCGCTCAGATTCATCACGAGCTGGACTCCACTAATGAATCAGAGGTCTCTGGGGAGACGCCAATGCTACCGTCTGGTCCAAAATTATTGGAGGAATTTCAATTATTGCGGCCTGATGATGTGGACAAGGTGCTTGGACGAGTACGTCCCACCACTTGCCTATTGGATCCTTGCCCGTCTTGGTTAATAAATAACTCCAAGCACGGGATTGGGACCTGGATCTTGGAAGTGGTTAACGCTTCTCTGAGGGAGGGTCAAGTGCCTGCCCCTTTAAAGGAGGCGGTAATACGACCGGTCCTGAAGAAAGCATCACTGGATCCAGAGATGGCCACTAACTATAGACCTGTGGCCAACATCCCGTTTCTGGGCAAGGTGTTGGAGCGAGTGGTGGCGGGACAACTCCAAGCACTCTTGGATGAAACTGATTATCTGGATCCTTTTCAGTCCAGCTTCAGATCCGGGTACAGTACTGAATCTGCCTTGGTCGCCCTGTACGATGACCTGTGCAGGGAGAAGGACAGGGGGAGTGCATCCCTGTTGGTTCTTCTGGACCTCTCGGCAGCTTTCGATACCATCGACCATGGTATCCTTCTGGATAGGCTTGCGGGATTGGGGGTTGGAGGCACTGCTTTGCAGTGGTTCCGCTCCTATCTCAACGGTCGATTCCAGAAGGTAGTGCTGGGGGACTATGTCTCTGCGCCATGGCAGCTATGCCATGGAGTACCACAGGGTTCCATTCTATCCCCTCTGCTATTTAACATCTATATGAAACCGCTGGGAGAGGTCATCAGGAGGTGTGGGCTGCGGAATCATCAATACGCTGATGATACCCAGCTTTACCTCTCGTTTTCCACTAATCCAGGTGAGGCAGTGGCTGTGCTGAACCGGTGCCTGGCCGAGGTAAGGGAATGGATGAGGGCCAATAAACTGAAACTCAACCCAGACAAGACGGAGGTCCTGTTGGTTGGCGGATCGGTTTTTGGAGAGGGTGGATTTGACCTGGTCCTGAATGGTGCAACACTCCCTCTTAGGGATAAGGTCCGCAGCTTAGGAGTACTCCTCGACTCGGAGCTTTCTTTGGAAGCTCAGGTGACAGCGGTGGCGAGGAACGCCTTCCTTCAGCTTCGGCTGATTAATCAGCTGTGCCCCTACCTGGAGTACGACTGCCTGGCGACGGTGACACACGCGCTGGTGACTTCCCGCCTAGACTTCTGTAATGCGCTTTACGTGGGGCTACCCTTGAAGACGGTCCGAACACTTCAATTGGTGCAAAATAGAGCTGCCAGGTTGCTGATGGGGACGGGGCGTTATGCTCACATGACTCCAGTCCTCCGTCAACTTCACTGGCTTCCCATTGAAGCCCGGGCCCAATTCAAGGTGTTGATTATGACCTATAAAGCCCTAAACGGCTTGGGTCCTGGCTACCTGAACGAGCGCTTACGTCCGTATATGCCCGACCACTCTTTGAGATCTGCGGGAGAGTCCCTTCTCCGGGAACCCTCCATGAAAGAAATTAGGAGAGTAATTACTCGGAGGAGGGCTTTCTCTGTGGTGGCGCCCAACCTATGGAATTCACTCCCCAAAGAGGTCCGCCTGGCACCGTCGTTACTGGTTTTTTGGCGCCAGGTAAAGACCTTTTTATTTAAACATCATTTTAATTGTTAAAACATATGATCTGGCCAGGGCAACTTCTTCTTCCTTCTCTTTTCTCCTCCTATATTTTTATTTACTTATTTTATACTGATAATTTTATTTTTATATTTGTAACTCAGTGTATTTTTTGAATTTTTGTATTTAATGGTAATTTATTATGTTCTATTGTATTTCAATGTACTTTATTGTGTTGTAAGCCGCCCCGAGGTTTCGGCAAGGGGCAGCATAGAAATGTTAATAATAATAATAATAATAATAATAATAATAATAATAATAATAATGTTCTAGACACTTGCTGGGCTCCTGTCCATTTTATTTTCTCTTTCTGTCTTTGTCACAATGTTTTTATTCTTACTGTTATTGAGATTCCAGTGGATTCCAACCATTAACAACCTATGCTTCTTCCCACCCCCTGAATTCTCTTGTGCCATCCGTATTTGAAATGCAACTCCATTGGCAGAAGAGCTTTCAGTTTAATTTTGCACTCATCTAGCAAGTTTTGAAAGGAATAACAGGCAGAGTTCCAAAGGATTTTGCGCGGGAGAACTTCCCAGTAGATTGTGTTCCAGAAAAATTGGGGGGAAGTGGGGAGCCAGATGGGTTTTTCAGCTAAAATTACATGGCCAGACTTGACTGTAGCCCTGTAATATCTATCAATAAATATTCAAATTTATATTTTGGTCTCCAGAAGCTGGCAGATTGACATAGATCTAAACACAGATGCAATGAATCCAAGACAGAATTCCACCCCCGCAGCAAATTTGATAGCATCTATAATGTGAAAGTAAAAAATTTGGCAACTAACCATGAAAGTCAATAGAACTCATTATGATTATTATTATTTTTTGAAATCTAGAGAGGCTTTGGCCTAAGTGTAGCGTGTTACATTTGGCCTGCTTCTGTTTGCAAAGTTTTTATACCTACAGTTCATTCCTTTATCTTGGCCATGCCTGAGTTGGGCTGTCAGTGATTTGGCATTTATGCCTGCAAGGAAAATGTCCACTGAGCCCTCCCTATTTTATATGTATGGTGAGTGGAACCATGTTGCATGATGGTTGCCTGAATCCTTAAAGAGAAACAGATGAAATAAAGGGCATATATTTGTACCCAGAGTCTGGTCAGTAGCATATTAGATGGCAGCTAACAGTGCAATCCTACGCAAGTTTACTTAGAAATAAGTTGCAGTACTTATTTCAGGCAAGTGTGTATATGTATTGCAGGCTAAATGGAATTAAACCTGGAATTTAAAATTAAAGGGGGACTTTTTCAGCATAAAAGGGGATATTCAGTGCCATCAACAAAGTACAGTTCTAAGCATTCTTTGGGAAAAGGCACCACAGTCAAATTGGTGTGAAACAGTTACGAATGCATAGCCTAGATATACGTAGTCTCTTCTTGGTTAAATTCTTTTAATGGTTTTTTCTTAAGGATTAAGAAAAGCCTTCTTTGGCAGTGAGTCATGGGATTTCTGTATACAAGAAATGATAATTTAGCAATCTCATATTTTGAGTAGAAAAGCTTTCAGCTTAGAAGGGCTCAGCACGCAATGTGTGCTTGCAATATGCACAGGACTTTCTGCAGCTTGTTGCTATTCTGCAGCGCAAAAGCAGGTTGCATTGCTCAGCTGCCTTTCAAACTGTCTCGAAGCTAGCTGTGCCAAAGCGATAGCAGACTTTTTTTTAACCTGCAGGAGTCCTGACAGGAGACGGCCCATATACTGAAGCTATTTTCAAGCCTCTCTGAAAGATTGTCCTGCCTCTGGGAATTCTTGCAGCAGACATGGCAAGGAAAGCATTCTCTGCTGTGTGGTCCAAGCTGAGAATGAACCATTCTGACTCATTTTTCAACCTCTCACATTTCCTTTCCAAAGTCTTTTGCCAGAGCAAAACACAAAAGATTATCTGACTTGACCCCTTTTGGGCTTGGGTGCAGCCTATATAAGTACAGCCACATGCACCTTAAAAGAAAATCAGAGGAAGCTGAATAACTGAATGGCCACGATAATGACAGAATTGTATTCCCCAGGGTTTGGTGTCCTGGGCAGGATCTGGAAAATCTCCATGTTCTCTTTTTCTTTAGACAAACAAAGAGGCTCTTGCCCTTATGTGTTTTAAGAAAATGTGTGGGCCAAAGCTCAGAAACCATAGCATAACAGAAAGGGCTTTTGATCATTGGAAGAGGAGGTTTTTGGAAACAGAATAGATCCCGTTTACTCCCACTCATTCCCTTGTATCCCTATAAATATTCTTCTCTAATTCCATACACCTTTATAGCCATCCAAGAGACCCTCCCTCTTCATAAATGCTTTGGGATCAGGAATATGACCTCTGCCCACTTTTTTTACTAGGCCTATAGTAAAATGCCATTTTATTATATATATATATATATATATATATATATATAACCACAATTCAGCAGGAATCAATTAGAAAACCTGGAGCAGCTGATCTAATATGCCAGATTTGTTCTGAGAAAAAGCTTTGGGTCTCTGGTTTCAGAATTTGGAATCTCCGGGTAAAAATACACACTGACCTAGCTGACAGTAGATGATTGACTTCTATGACTGCAGAGAAATCTACAGATGTTCTATGGAAAATAAGGAAAAGCAGTTTAAACTTGGGATTTTATTAAATCTGGTGCATGAGCTCAGAGTTTACAGCACCTGGATGAACTCAGGGAAAACCAAGTTCATGCCCTCAGGAAATTGCTTCTGCACACCAGCAAGAATAATTTCTGTTCACTAAATACAAGGAAGTGATTTCTGAAGAAAGAAAATATTTTAACAGATTTTACTTTGAAAATATCAGACTGTTTAAAAAGAAATCTGAAACCTGAATCGATCATCTTGTGAAATCAATTAACACGGGGTGTTTATCATAGGACTAGCTACTGGTTTGCTTTAAGCATTGCTGTGAATATTCTTATTAATGTAAGAATGACATCTCCCTAATTAAAGTGGAATAAGGGAGCCCAAGCATTGTTATCAATCAGAGCAGGGTATTACATTTCTTTATTTATTATATTTATAGTCTGCCTTTTTTTCTTTCAAGGAAATCAGGGTGGTTTACCTAGCTCTCCTCCTCTCAGTCTTATCCTTACAACAACAACCCTGTGAGGTAGGTTGGGCTGAGAACCTGTGACTGGCCCAAAGTCACCCTTTTGGCTCCATGGTTGAGCAGGGACTAGAACCCAGATTGCATAATTCCCAGTCCTGCACTTTGCACCACTATACCACACTGGTTATCTTTTAGCAAATTTCATTGCTAAATTATTGACTCTTTAATACTGTCTCCTTATTTACTCAAGTAGTTTTGGAATCTTTTTTTTTTGTGGGGGGGGGGGGGGAAGAGGCAGGTGCTCCAAATGTACTTCTGAAATATTCATCCTAGGGATGATGTTAAATTATCAGGCTTAATCTCATGGCCTAGGTTGCTTTTGTTTGCTTTTTATTTTAATTCTGTTTCTCTCCATTTTATCCGCACAACAGCCCTGGGCCATTGGTTAGGCTGAAAGTCAACGACTGTCCAAACTCACCCAGTCAGTGGGGATTTGAACCTGGAACCATCCACATCCCCGTTCAACATTCTAACCCCAGTGGTTTGAGAAACTGGCATCTCTTTCAAATAGGCTCAGCATTTGCATTTCAACAGTGGTGACCTGCAGTGTCTGTTGGGGATTCTCTTTCCTTGAGAGCTAGGGATGTCTAACAGGGGTGTCAGAGCATCCTTGCCCTACTATGGTTCCTTTGGGTCTTTAATTGGGTGAAACCGTAAGAGCTGTGTTGGTATAAAACGGAGAGAGCCAGTGTAGTGTATTGACGTATTCCACAGGGTTTCAAGGGGAGCTTCGATCTTTTCATGCAGTAAGTGCTTTTGGGGTTTTTATTGTATTCAGACTCACAATAATGTGTGAAGTCCTTCTTTAATGCCCCCATTTTATAGATGGGGAAATGGAGTTAAAGAGAGACCGTAATTTGCTCAAGGCTGAGAACTGAGCAAGGAGCAGAAGATGAACCCATTTCCCTGCTGGAAATTAGCCTGTTCTGCCCACTGGAGCATGCCGGATCTAAGCTTCCCAGGTGCTCTGGTGAAATAAAGCCTTCAGCCGTGCTCTCTCTTTGCTTTAGGTCTCAGCAGGATCCATAGTTGAAACGGTCAAAGAACGAGTGATTGATTCTAGGCTGCAAGTTTACGTCTCCCGGCCTGGTTTGTTCACCTGTGTCGCCACCAACAAGCACAGTGAAACTTACGGCACCGCAAAAGCTGCAGCCACTATCAATGTATCAGGTATGTCTTTGGGAAGGAGGCAGCTTGTGTGGGATTAAATGACAGTTAACTCTAGCATGGGTTTTTACAGACAGAGAGACAGACCTTGTGGAGAGGGAAGAACATGGCTTCCTTGTAATTTGCAGCAGGATAAATTTGATCTAGGAGTGCACCTCGTTCCCAGTGATTTCTTCCTCTATTATTACACTTCAGAGCTTGCACAGCTATAATTTCCTACATATTTGCTGCCATCCTGATTACAGTGTCCTAAGAGCACTCTGTAAACTCATCCAGGAGAAGGAAGTAACTGTGATGGAGCACTATATTAATATCACCTAACGGCCATGTGAAAATAGTTCAGCCGGCCACCAACATCTTGAGTATTACTTACAAGCAGGGGTGGCATGTTGGTCTTAAAAGAAAACATGTAGAATCCTCGCATGTTCAGAAAAATGCCCTGTTCTTTACTCGCAGCATTACAAAAATTGCACCGTTGCTTTGATTTCAATTTCTGTGAGTGATGATCTTGTGAAAGGTGATAGAACAGGGTAGCAGCCAGAGGACTGAAATCAATTTCAGAGAAATGCTTGGGGGTCACACCCTAGTGATATGTGGAGCAAAAGAAATGGGGCGGGGAAGACATACCAAAAATACCAGTACATTGTAGCCTAAAGCTTCATGACTGCTCAGAAATCAGCTATGAACTCCATGAAGTTTATGCTTAGGTGCACATGCTTTGGATTCTGTCCACCAGCCCCGTGGGCAGCCATGGCTGAGCCAGTGCATGCAGTTTGCAGGCGGCTTGCCTCCCGCTCAGGCCCCTTGCCACGCTGCTTTCATGCATACGGCACCCACAACCTGCCTGCCCTTTTGCTTGGTTGCCAACCTGCCCCAAGTCGCCTCTTCCCCTGGGCTACATGGAGCAAGCACAGCCCTTCCACGGAAGTTGGGTGGAGATGTCCAGGCATTCTTTCTGGGAACGTTTCCCTAAGTGCGAATGAGTCAGCCGGAGGGAGAAGGGAGGGGAGGGATGCGAAGCAAAAGCAGGGCAAACAGAGCACATCTTTGCACTGTAATGCCTTCCTCCCTTCCCCTAGATAAAGAAAGGTTAGCGAATAAGGCGCGGCGCCGGCAACGGCAACGTGGGTGGGAGGTAGTTTTGGGAGTTCTCCTCCTGCCTCTCCATGTTGTGTTTGCTCTCTGTGCGCTGCTTACGCATCCTGACTCCCAGCTGTGGGCTGCCAGGATGAACAAACCGCTCACAGCCCCCAAACTGTACCTGGTTTGCACGGTGTGGGTTTGCAGAGTGGGACAAGCCACAGTCGCAGTTTAAATGGCCAACATTGTTTGTTTTGGGGGTTTTGGTTTTTTGTAAGCTGTCCAGAGACTTTTAGTATTGGGGCAGCATATAAAAACTTTAAATAAATAAATAAACTTCAGGGCAAGCAGTGGCCCTTGTACAAAGCTGCTTTGTGGGGGGGGGTGAGAGAGAGAGAGACAAGGGGGCTTTGAGCTGAGCAGCATCACTCTTTCTTCCAGTGATGCTGCTCAGCACACCAAGACAGTGGAGGAGGAGGAGGAGGAGGAGCTGGCCCATGTGGCAGGCAGCCCAGTGGCCTGAGACAGCACTGGCGGCACACCCAAGTCCCACGTGGGCTTCCTCTTTCAGGACTGGAGAGCAGAGTGCAGCTGCAGCAACAGCAGCACAGCAAAACTGCCCCCACTGACCACATAGCCTGCCTCCTGCCTTATAGGAGGGCAGCCATACTTGAAAAACACCACAGTAGGCTTTGTGCTTCAGACTTAAGTGAGTGTGGCATAATACATGGGAGAGAAACTAATCTTTTCCCCCAGAATTTAGATTGACCTTGTCTCTTTTTTGAGCAGAATGATGAACTCTTACATGTAGTGTGGCCAAAAAAATGGGAATCAGGCTTCCTTTTATACTACTGAGTATATTCCATAGTATTTGAGCATATGTTAATGAAAGCTGATGTGCTGAGGGAAAATAATATTACTGCTGGACTAGAAGAGGAATTACGCAGAAAACAGAATTTTCCCTCTTTTGTGTTGGTTCTTCCTTTAACTAGGGCTGTCTAGTCATCTAACAAATGCTTCCTTGCATCCTTTGTAGTTGAAGACTTATTCAGGAATAGTTTTTATCCCTTCCAGTGGCTCTGAAAAAAGCTATCTTTCAGGCTTTATTTGTGCTCTGAAGATATGTGTGTGTGTGTGTGTGTGTGTGTGTGTGTGTGTGTGTGTTTTAGAGCAACATAAATAGTACTGACCATTTCTTTCTCTCCTTCTGCCCTGAACACAACTATTTATATGGATGGATCTTGTGTCTGTACCATAGAATGGAGGTAAGAATAATCTTGGGATGTATATTGCTGATGAGAATGATTTGTATAACTAGCTGTGTAATCAAGTCATTGCACAGCCCATGTTTTGCATGCCAGGTTCAATCGCTAACATCTCCAGGAAGGGCTGGGAGATGCCACCTGTCCAAAACCCTCGATTGCCACTGTTGCCCGTCAGTGCAAACAATGCCAACCTAGAAGCTCATTGCTAGAGTGAATGATCTGACTCAGTTTAAGACAGCTTCCTGTGATCCTCTGCTATGTATAATTGGTTTCCAGCTAAACCCTCCCTTTGTCTTTTCTCACAATTAATTCTCATCAAATGCTGTTTACTGAAAGTGTGTAAGCATCCAAGAGAGCCTATGAAACCCAACTTGGCTAGCTGACAAAAGCACTGTATGAAACAAGTCTCTCCTATAGTAGTCAATTTGTTGCTCAAATTGGATGCTGTATATGAAGAGCATTAGCATGGACCAAGGTTACACCATTGTCTCTGGAATGGTGTTATTCAAGGGAGTGGGAGATGAAAACCAAAGCTAGAAACAAGTACCAGAATAAATAGCTTTGATTAACTTAATCACCCTTGAAAGCTCCTTTCTCTTGATCTTATCAACTGTAGCCTTCACATCTACAAAGGCCATATCTGAAAATGAATTGATGAACATAGATTACAAATGGAAAAACTTTTCTGAAATGAGTGCCTGGATCTACCTTTTTGCTTGGCTATTTACATTTTAATTACTCTGCCCTGGAAAAGAGACTCAAGGAAATACTAATGACTTTACAAAGTCAAGAGACTGAAAAAATAGTTACCTCCTGTCACTCTGAAAGCAAGGATGATGCCCTTGTGCAGACAGGATTGGTGCCAAAGTAGAGCCAGTGAGAAACATGAGGGAGGAACCAGCATCCTCGAGTCAATCCCAAAGAATGCAAACATACAACAAACAATGACAACAGCCCAAAGAGGGAAAAACTCCTCCTCTCTAGCAGTCCAACAAGAGCCGTGCATGTTCTGGAGCCAGCTGGGAAAATGAAAGAGGAGAGCAAGGAAGAAAGACCAAACGGCACCTTTGTCCTTACAGAAGCTGTCTTTAACTTGATGCTCTTCAGGTATTTTTGACTACAACTCCCAGCATTCCGGACTGTTAGCCAAGCTGGGTGGGGTTGATGAGAGCTGAAATGCAAAATACCTGGAGGGTACCACTTTGAGGTAGCTTGAGGAAGGCATGGGTGGCTAGCTAGCACGCCGAAGAGGGACACCCTTGTTAAAAGCCGAGGACACACAGTTACATCGTGTTAGAGTCGCCACATGTAATATTGATTAGGAAACCAGCCCTCGACACAGAAGCCTACGAGTAGTAGCAGAGAAAGCCGCAAGCAGTGTGTGCGTGCCATTCATGAAATGAAATTGAGAGGACGTTAGCACAAGGAGAAATATAATTCTTGGCTCGTCTGCTATATCCACAGGGTGTTCTGCTGCTATCATGTTACTATCACGATTGATTGCTTCCTTTTACATGAGTGAAAAAACATTTAAGCCTGACAGTATAGCAAAAGAAGTGGAATTAAGCATGCAGTTTGCAACCCTCAGATGGAATGCTGAGCGGGAGAAAAGATCAGGGCTCTACAGCTGGAATTCACATATAAAAAGCTGAGTGCTGGGAAATGCTTGGGTCAACTTAATAGTAGAGAGCTCATTGTCCTTCAGGCAAATGGGTTTTCAATGTTCAGCTGAGGAAAGGAAATTTTTATGAAGTTGTAGATAGCGCAAATATTTAGGACTGATTTAACCTGAACTCTGTGACCTGTGTTTACTCTGAGACAGGATGAACAGCACTGATGGATCTGGCTAAGTCTTGTCCCCTCGCATTTTTCTTATATTGAGCTGAAGTTAGGGACATTTGAGGATTTCATGTCTACTTGCAAAATGTGTTCTCAAATCCCAGTGTGTTCTCAAGTGGGAGCACAAGCAGAAAAACTCTTCCTTCATAAATATTTGCAAATTGTCAAACATCCAATTTCATTTGAAAAAAAATGTGCAGATTTGTTAAGAAAAAGGTGCACAATTGTGCAACTTTTAAAATGTGCTATTTTACACTTCATAGGGGGAATTTGTGCAAAACAGATTTCTTTGCACACATTTTATGCCTGATCATGTCCATTTTGCTCAGTTTTTCAATTTGTGCAAAACAGAGATTGCTACCACAAGTTCAAGTTAAGTAGAGGCAAGCACTGATTCAGGGTTCAGAGAATTTGGGTGAAAACAAATATTCATTTGCATAATCCTTGTGGAAGATAATGCAGAAACTCACAGAATTGGCTTGTAGGTACTTGCTAGGCCAGCGCTGGAAGATTTTCTTGAGAACAGACATTTGCACAGTCGCTTGAGATGAATGCCTTCATGAGACTGAGCAGGAAACTGGAGAAGAGATTATTCTTTTTAAATGTCAGGTTATGTGCTGCAAATGGCTATTAGTACCATGTGTGGACCAGTGGGCAGATAAAAGCTAGTAACTTGTGGGCTAGAAAAAACTTCTGGACTTGCTTGCAAGACAGCTGTTGGGAAGACAAGGAGTAAGTGAACAGAATCTCAAAAATTTCCAGCTTCAGTACAAGATCTTGCTGTCATTCAGCTGGAATTCTGTTTTCTATGTAATGTGCCAGACTATGTCTAGGAATCCTGATCCTGTGAGTATGATGTTGATGATGAAGATGATGGGGGGCTTTAGATTATTGACACTGGATTTCATCCTATGGAAGATGAGGAAGGAATTTCTCTCCTGTCTCTGATCCTGTATGAATAGGGAGCAATGAGGTGGCTCCTGGCAGGAACACAGAAACTGCTTATACTGAGTCCATCTCATACCTTATATCTCTACCTTAATGGTAATTGGTTCATCTAGCCCAACACTGTTGACACTGACAGGCAGCAGATCACCAGGACCTCAGGCAGGATCCCTTCCTAGCCCTGCCTGGACATGCCTGGAGTCCGTCATGGAAACTTTTGCATGCAAAGCCTGGAACCCTAGGCAAGAGCTGGTAGGCGAATCCAGGATGCAATCAAGTTACTGCTGCATGTATATCCCCAAATTTCTCAAGGCAACAGACTCCTGCAGAGGTGAAACAGAGAGCAAACCAATCATTGGTCAAAATCTCAACATTATGTTTACGGGTGGAGACTGCGATCCCATGTGTACTTAGCAAGGGAGTCAGTTTAATGGGGCTTACTTCAGACTCCACTCATATAGTGCACTGAAAGCAAGCAGGAAGTTAATTCACTTGCCTACTATGACATTCAAATTATAGTAATTTTTTCTAATTACGCACACAAATCTGCATATGTGAATAGCACATGCAAATTTGTGCCCCTTTTGTACTAAGGGTCTGAGATTTTAGGTAGCCATTACCACCGCTGCACCGAGATTTAATTAAAGATCTTCATCCAGCTGAAACAGAACCTTTAGCTTTTATTTACAAAGGCAAACCATCTTGCAAAGACAATGGTTTCAAAGAAGCATGCACTCCTTCGAAGGAATGGAAAGGAGAATCCGGTCCCTGCTTGATTATTCTCCCCATTCTCTGACTTCCTCCCTTGGACTGAACGCCAAGGGGCTGAATTCTATTTGAAGATGCTCCCAGGGGCCCTGGTGCAGTGGGGGGAAAGGCTGAAAGCAAAATGCACAAGCTGCCCCCCCCCACCAATTTATTTTCACTTAAAGGCCTTACTTTGCAAAGGAGAGTACTTACTTTACTCTTTAAAAGGTAAGCAAGCCTTTGGAGCAGTATTTCAGCTGTCAGAATGGGCTGGAGGGGACTGTGCAAAAGCCAGAAAAACACCAAACAATCAGTGGCTGGGGGAAAAGCGCAGGACTGGGAAAGGGATGTGGTCTTCTGGAAGCCCCTAGAGGACGGGGTTTGGCCACTGGGCTTGAGGGTCTAACCTCTGATGCAGAGTTTATGCTCCTCTATCATCAACCATAATCAAACTTGAAAGCCTCATTATCACCTCATTCACAAGGCAGAGCAAATGTGTGTGTTTCTCCCACCAGCAGACTCTACAAGGGAGATGCAGGTTACTGCAGCTCCTACCAGGGAGAGGTGTGTAGTGCACTCCTGGCAAAGGATGCCTTCGTTTTCTTCAACACTTCCTATGGAGACCCGGAGGAGACCCAAGAGCTACTTGTCCGCACAGCATGGACTGAGTTGAAAACAGTGAATCCCTTGTGCCGCCCAGCTGCTGAGTCGCTGCTGTGCCACTACATCTTCCAGGAGTGCAGTCCCTCCAGGATCGGACCGGCTCCAAAACCTGTTTGCAGGTAACACAAGTGAGCGGAGTGAAGCACTCTGGCCCTTTACCTGTGCTGAACAATTGCAGGAAGAGTCAGGTTTGCGTGGCAGCAGAAGAATTTCCCCTGAAAATATAATGCTCATGAGCAGATAGTAAGAGAATTCTCCCAAACTCCACGTGTGATTTCAGTGTTAGAGACCTATAGTAGTCTCACACTGGTTTAGTGGGAAACATTCACAGCATGATCGTGCCCATAGCAACAACCCTAAAAAGAAAAAAAAAGCTCTAAAATTCAGGCAGTTCGGTTAATCCAAACCAGTTCTCGCAAATTTCATTGTCACCAGGAGCTGATGGAATCTTAATTGCCTTTTGTAAAGCTGATGGGTCTTAATTGTAGCAATTAAATAAATAAATAAAGCTCCATTCCAGACTAAGCTGCACCAACAACAGGGTTGTTGTCAGTACAACAGGGAACAATTTACTTTGATTTTTATTTTATTTTATTTTATATTTATTAGATTATATTTATATTTATTCCACCCCATTAGCCAAAAAGGCTCTCTGGGTAGGTTGTTGCTGGGTTGCTGGGAAAAATATATTTTTGCTGGGAAAATTAATTTCCTCTCAGTTATTTTGAGTAGGATGTCAGAGAAATCTGCAACAGTTTCATATGACTGTAGCTTCCTATGAATCCAAGGACCTGCTGTCCTGGGTCACATGGATTCTGATGGCTTGTGGATTTCTTAAGTGCAAATTTAGTCATAGAAAAATAAGAAAAGCTGGTTGAAAATGTACATTTTCCCCATGTACTGCAGTGTGAAAATATGTATTTTTGGAGGATTTGCTCAGCTTTAGAAATGGAATTTGTGCAAGTGCAGTAATTTGCACAAAAAACTATGACATGCACAAAATCCAGTTCCATCAATGAGCAGACAATGGGGAAAAAAGTCACCTGAAAATATGCAAAACACAGAACAGATTTAACAAAGTCTGTGCATCTTTAGCTATGTGCATTGCAGCTCAGCTCCAAAATTCAGAGGGAACAGAGAAGTCCTGCCGGCCAGGTGGGGGAGGCCCGTGTCCCCGATAACAAAGTGTTCTGGCGTTGCATTCTTTCAAGTCCTGATTATAATAAGACAGTGATCCAGAATGTGACTGGCCAAATAAGTTGTATTAGCAATAACAGTTGCTCTCTATAGAAAATGCTTATAACTATTGTCACCATAAAAGCTACTAAAGTAAGGTGTGAGTTGGAATTAACCCCCGCCACCCAAAATAAAAGAACAATTCAATGGATCAAAATCTTCTGTGTGGTGCAGACATCTGATGAAAGAGGTAAAGCAGGGATGGGGAATGTGCAACCATCCAGGTATTCCAGGAATGCCATTCTCATCATGTTCTACTATTAGCCATGCTGGTGATGGGTGATGGAAATTGCAGTCCAACGACATCAAGAGAGTTGCATCCTTTCCACAACTACCATAAAGAAAGGAAATAAAGATACATACTAAATATTTATTGAAAGGGTTGTTAATGTGTAAATGAAGGCAGATATGGTATACTAAGCTGGGATACTGCAATGTCCCAAACTAATTAGGTTAATAGGGCAGAGGAACTGCAAAAGAACACAAGAAGAACCCTGCTAGGTCAGACTAATGACCTACCTATTCCACCTTTCTATCCCTTCAGTGGCCAGTATCCCTTCAGTGGGATGCCCATAAGCATGACATAAGTGCAACAGCATGGGTACACACACACACACACACACACACAGAGAGAGAGAGAGAGAGAGAGAGAGAGAGAGAGAGAGAGAGAGAGAGACATGTGTTTTCATTAATGTTGGCTCCTTTATGCAATTGTTCCACATTAAGTGCCCAATTTTGTCATTGTATTTATAATGGCATCAATCCAAAGAGTTCTTTTAGATGTCCCCAAAGGCTTCCATGTCCTCAGTGACATTTTGACATACACACACACACACACGCACCATTTCACAATGGTGCACACCCATGATTTTCCAGAGCTATTCAACATGGTATGAAGTGAGTGGCTTGCACTTTGTGGGCACATGGAACCATTTGTGAAATCCCTTGGATCTGGTCAACAGATATTTCCAGCTTCCATCCCATTCATGCTGTTTTTTGGAAACCATTTGGTTTCTCCATCCTCTGTCCTAACAATAACTTTTGTCCATGATATAAATTACACATTGGAACAATCAAGTGCTCATTTTTTCCAGGGCAATCTGTAGTTTCTTTTGATCCCTCAATCAAAGCTTTGCTGTGGTCTATAAAGCAATTTGAAATTCTTTGGTGTGCTCCAATAGCCAATGTATATTTGCAATATGATCTCAAGTGGCTCTTCCTTTTTTGAATCTAGGTCGAACATTAGGCGTTTCTTGATAGATATAGAGTTTTGTCACTCTGCTTGCATGGGAAATTAGTGCAATGGTCCTATAGTATCATCTCCTTTCTTGGAGTTGGGAATGTAAATTGAATGTTTTTAATCTGTGGGCCATTGCTTTGTTTTCCTTATTTTTTGGCGTATTCTTGTTAGGATTTGGACTGTTTCAGTCTCTGCAGCTTGAAATACTTGTGTTGGTACCTTATCTACTCTGTGTGCTGTATTCCTTCCAAGTGCTTTCAGAGCAAATTTCTCTTCACTTTCTAATATTGCAGGTGGTTCTCCAGAGTGACAACATGCTAACAGATTTAGTATACATTTAGTGGAAGACTGCCAAAGAGGTTGAACACAATTATTTGACTGCAAAAGAGGAAAGTTCTTAAAAATGAGGGAACTGGTAAGGAAGAAGCTGAAGAAGGGAATCAAAAAGTTTAAATTGCTTCAAAGCTCTTGGAAAGTATGCAAAAACATTACACCAGAGACATCAATAACATGCATACCACAAGTAGGAAAAGGAGCACTAAGTCCAGGAAATGGACTTAGCATGGTTAACACATAGAGTCAAGGAAGCTATTAGGGAGAAAAAAACTTCTTTCAAAAAATGGAACATTTGTAGAAACAGGAAGAACAGAAGGGACCACAAGCTTGCACAAGGGAGATGCAAGCATACCATCAAAGAAGCAAGGAAACAGTTTGAGGAGAACTTCCCTAACAACATCAAGGCTAACAATAAAGAATTTTTTAAATATATCACAAGAAAGAAAGTGGCTAAGGAAGCAGTTGGGCCATTGGCCGATAATGGAATTAAAGGAGCCCTAAGCGGGGATAATGGGATTGCAGAGAAGCTGAATGAAATTTTCACAGCAGAGGATGCAGAGCAGATACCTGTTCCTGAGCGTATGTATTCTGGAAGGGAGTCTGAGGAATTAAGGCAGATAACAGTGACAAAAGATGAAATTCTCAACCTTACTGACAAACTGAAAGTCAGTAAATCACTAGGCCTAGATTGTATCCATCCTAGAATTCTCAGAGAACTCAAACATGAAATTGCTAACCTTATTAAAATATTTAATATGTTCCTAGAACTGGAAAATGGCCAACAGAATACCAATTTTTAAAAAGGGTTTCAAGGGTGATCCGAGAAATTACAGGCCAGTTAGCTCAACATCTGTTCTGGTAAACTGCTTGAAAGCATTATTAAAGAGGCAGTCAGTAAGCACACAGAGTGACAAGGCCCCTATGTGAAAAAAACAAATCAGGATCATTTCTACAAGGGAAAGTCTTGTCTCACTAACCTATCGGAGTTCTTTGAGAGTGTCAATATGCACATGGACAGGAGTAATCCTGTAGGCATTGTTTACTTCAGCTTCCAAAAGGCTTTTGACAAAGTCCTTCACCAAAGGATCCTGAGTAAACTAAGCAATCTGGGATAAAGGGAGGAGTGGCCTTGTATGGATCACTAACCGGTCAAAGAACAGAAGACAGAGGATGGGAATAAGTGGCAGCTTCTCCCAACGGAGTCCCACAGGGTTCTGTATTAGGAACAATGCTTTTCAACCTATTCATAAATGATCTGGAATTAGGAGTAAGTAATGAAGTGGCCAAGTTTGCTGATGGCACCAAATTTTTTTTAGAGTGATTTTAAACCAAAAAGGATAGTGAGAGATCCCAAAGAGATCTCTTCAAGCAGGGAGAACGGGAATCAAAATGGCAAGTGCAATTCAATATAAGCAAGTATAAAAGTAAGGCAAGTTGGAGCAAAAAAAAAATCACACCTTCAAATATACATTGATGGGATCTGAGCTTCCAGTGAATGAGCAAGAAAGGGATCTTGGGTAGTAGTGAACAGGTGGATGAAAATGTTGGTCCAATGTGGAGCTGCTGTATAAGTAAACTCTGTGCCAGGAGTAGAAAATAGAACTGCCAAAATCTTACATCCCTTATAGAAATCTTTGCTCCAGCCCCACTTGGAATATTATATTCCGTTCTGATCTCCTTCCCTGAAAAATAGCTTAGTGCGTTGGAAAAAGTGCAGAGAAGGGCAACAAAAATGACCAGGGGCCTGGAGCAGCTCCTCTGTGAGGAGCAGCTACAAGAACTGGGACTGTCCAGCTTAGAAAAAAGGCAAGGAAGGGGAGACAGGATAGAGGTGTTAAAATAATACATGGTGTGAAGAGGTAGACATTTTTCTCACTCTCCAATAACACTTGAACCCAGGGTCATCCCATGAAGCTGATTGATGGGAGGTTTAGGACAGATAAAAGGAAGGACTTCTTCATACAACATATAGTTAAAACTATGGAATTTGCTGTCAGGGGAAGTGGTGATGGCCCTCAATCTGGATGGCTTTAAAAGGAGATTGGGCAGATTTCTGAAGAAGGAGGCTATCGGTGGGCACCAACCTTGCTGGCTATGTGCAACCTCCTTGCCTACATACATCAATTGCTGAGGAGCTTGGGCAGGTGCAGGTCTTGTACTCATCCTGCTTGAGCAAATCTGTGGGCAGCTGGTTTGCCACCGGGATGGACTTGATGGACCATTGATCTGATCCAGCATGGCTTTTCTTACATTCTTATGTCATCCTTTTATCTCTTCTGTAAAGCTCCTTCATGTATTATTTCCACCTTCTCTTTATTTCAGACAGATAGTAGGACGCCCTGTTTGTGTTTCAGCATTCCTAATCTAGCTCTGAATTTCTCTTTGGTTTCTTAGAAGAGGTGTCTCGTTTTCCCTGTTATTCTTGGAACATCTGGCAGAGGTCTCTTGTTTCTTCTCTTTTGTTGTTCTCATCTATTTGTTTGTACTGACCATTGTAATGATGGACCACTTGATTATTTCACAATTTCTATTTCTTTATCATTTAAACTAAAGTTATGTAATTCTTTGTAGACATTATTTTTGTTTTATTAATATTCTGCCACAGTCCTGCTTTGGTACTTTCACTTTTATCGGGAGTCATTTCTGGTCATTGTTGCTTTTTTGCCAGTAGTATGGTATCATCCGCATACCTTAAAGTAGTGATGTTTCTTCTATCAGTGTTCATGCCTTCTTCTGATTTTAATACAGCTTTTCTTATGATACATTCTGCATACAGATTGAACAAAAAAGGAGGTAAAATGCACCCTTGTCTAATCCTCTGCCTATGGGAAGCCATTCTGTTTCTCTGTACTCTGCCCTAACTGTAGCATCTTGCCTGTGATTTGGGTAATGAATCCAGACAATCAAGTGCTGAGGCACGCACCTTTCTTTCAGAACCATCCATACCTTCATGTGATTCAAACAGTCAAAGGCTTTGCTACAAAGCATAGACTGATCTTTTTCTGAAATTCTTTGGTGTGCCTTATGTCGGAGACTAATTTAATGGCCCTGTGGTTGCTGCACTCTTTTGCCCCTCCTTTCTCGGGGATTGGAATATATATCGAATGTTGCCAGTCTGTGGGCCAATGTTTTGTTTTCTGAATTTGCTGACATCTTTTTGTTAGGATTTGGACTGGTTCATTTTCTGCAGCTTGGAATAGTTCTGTTGGTATCCTATCTACTCCAAGTGCTTTATTCTTTGCAAGTGCTTTCAGAGTAGCTTTCACTTTGCTTTCTAATATTGTAGTCTCTTCTTCATAGCATTCCACTTGGAAGAAGTCTTTCATCCTTTCATCTCTTCTGTATAGTTCTTCTGCATATTCTTTCCACCTTCTCTTTACATTCTCCTGATCAGACAGTATGTTTCCTTGTTTGCCTTTTAGCATTCCTGAACCAGGTTTGAATTTTCCTTTCATTTCTTGGATCTTCTGGGAGAGGTTTCTTGTTTTCCCTCTTTTGTTGCTCTCATATATTGCACTGATCATGCAATAGTTCTTTTTGTCTCTGTGTGGAAGCCACTGAAAAGTTGCCAAGGTTGCAACGCTGTGTAGTGTTCTGTGTTGCTGTTCAATATCTATTTTAATGCTGTTCTTAAATGTTACTGCACATTTGATGTGGTTTTTGCTCCTTTCTTTGTTTTAATGGTATTTTAATTGTAAATTACCCTGAAAGAAAGGGATGATTTATACGTCTACTAAATTAATTAAAATAATTGTGGGTATGTAGTTATTATTGCCTATTAGATGCCAATAGCTGACATTTAGTGTAGAAGCAGACTGTTCCATTTTATGAATCCCCTAGATTGTTGATAGTCACAAAGTTGTGCCTGACTCATCACGACCCCATGGACAACATTCTTGCAGGCTCTCCTATCCTATCTTCTAGATAACTGATCTATAAAGCTGTCTTTAGTGACATAAAGTATAGTTTCAGTTAGTATTAATAATTCTACAGTTCAAGCAATGGTATGTTTACTCCTCTCCACTCCACAAGAGTACCTGGGAAGCGTCATTTGTATTTGTTTATGGATTTACTGCCCATCTGCCAAAAAAGTCAAGACAGTTTCCACTTTGTAAGAATGTTTGCAATTTAAAAAGTGTGAGACAAAAAGGAAAATAGGGTGAGGGGGTAGAAGAAGACAAGCAAATTGAGATGTCATTTTTTCATACTGTTATGCAATGGTGTTATATAGTGACTAGATAGAATGACCATTCATAGAGAACAATCTGGCAGAAAAAGAGCCAAAAGTTGATTGGTCCCGGCCAGGTGGATGGAACAGGACTTGCCATCTCACCTCTCTCCCTCTGCTATAGTCCAACACATTGTTGGGGAGGTGCCTAAATGGAAAGCTTGAGCTTCATCAAAGCTGCATTTCAGGACAGGCCTTTCCCATCGATAGAAGGCACAGTCCTGTGTTGTCATCCTACTTTGTTCAGAGGGTGGACCCACTGTTGGCGTGGTAATTCAGAAGTTGGGGCCTCTGAAGGATGAAACCGTGTGTGTGTGTGTGTGTGTGTGTGTGTGTGTTGAATCACAAGACGAAACATGTTAAGCCTAACCTGGAATGTCCTTGCTTAAAGCAGGTGAGCCACATGTGGCCCCTGGTTTGCAGGCAGCCCCTCTGCTTTTTTTGCACTGAAATTCAGTGGGGTACCAGCAGGAAAAAGGGGCAAAATATCCCCCTATTAAGGGGGTAAAGCAATGGTTTGCCAGCAAAATTTGGTGGCATGGTGGCAAAAATGTGTAAAGCAAAATTCAGTGGGGATGGAGGCAGAAGTGTGGTCCCTGGTGGAGCACGGGGAGCTCTGCAGATTTGCTCACCAGGAGAAAGCACAGGAAATTAAGAAAGTATACGGACAATGCTGCTGTGATCTGATCTACACAGGTGGAATAGTGCAACCAAAAACGAAGTTCAAAGTAGCATTTAAAAATATATATACAAAACATGAATGCATCATATCTCACAGAAATCTAAGATTGATAATAGGATAATATCGATGTATGGAGCAGATCTTCACCTAGTATAACAGTGATGATGTACCTCATTTATAACCTTGTATACTATTTGCAATCCACTGATATTACAATATTGTCATCCCTCATTGACTGTGACATTCCACTGTTGTTTGTAAAACAATGTAGAGAGCATTGCCTTGCTGTAAAGGATCTCTACTGCTTTAAGGAATGGCTTTCAATGGAAGAAAATGCCCGCAAAGGAATCTACAAACCTGGGCTGATGTTACTGACTCTGCCAGAGTGCAACCGACTTCCCAGCCTGCACCAGGACTCGAAGGCTTGCATGAGGATTCCACATTTTGGTAAGTGGGCCACGAACTCTAGATATGGTTACATGATATATATTTATTGTAAGCCGTCCCGAGATGTTCTGTAGGGGATGGGATAGAAAAGCTTTTAATAAATAAATAGTATAGCTTAAAAGTTGCTTTGCTGAAGCTGAAAGCTATGGACCTTGCAAGCTCATTAGCTGTCAATCTGGAATTCTTTCTGAGCCTTCCATCACTGCTTGTGGAGTGGAGTCTAACAGCCAAGCTACATATTACTTGTTTTTGGACTCACTTTAACTAATTAGGTCCCTCGTGTAGTGGCGCACAGGGGACCAGAAGCCCCTCTCAGTCTACTTGTATCCCCAACACTTTTGCAGCAGAATTCCTTGTTTGCCTGGTCCCTGCATTAGCCTGCATTTTATGATCAGCCCACAGAAAGCAGCCCTCACATCAGATGGCCAAATGAATTAATTTTCTAGGCCCTTGCAGCCAGATGCAGCAACATGTTTGCAAACATTAATTTTATTTTCCCTGGGGAAGTGTGCTCTTCTGATGTAGGATATTCAAATAGACCTGCTGATATTCTCTTCTTGCCTATGTCCTTGTTCTTTGCATCCTCCATCTTGGTGCTTTCCTTGCCAGCAAAACCCATTTGTTAAACCCTACCCCTCACCTTACACTCTAAGTAAGAACACCCACCAACCCAGGCAAAAATTGCACAAATTGCATGGGTGAATAGTAAGATGAAGTACCAGGTTGCATAAATTTCAAGCCAGAGTAACACAGAGGAACCCTCCTTTGTGTGACCATGTTTTCCTTTTAAAAATTTGTGAATTTATTTATTTTAAGTGTTTCTATGCCATCCTGTTACTAAAAAAGTCTCTGGATGGCTTACAAAGAACAAAACCCCAAAGAAAAAAACCGTAACAACAACAATGCACAGCATACTGCATCTAAAAATAATAATAAAAACAAGGATAAAACCAATTAATTGTTAAAATACTGGGAAAACTAAAAAGTCTTTGCCTGATGCCAAAAAGCATAGAGCAACAGCTCTAGGCAAACCTCCCTGGAGAGTGTATTCCACAGTTGGGGTGCCACTGCTGAAAAGGCCCTCCTCCGGGTAGCCACCCTCCTGATTTCCTTCAAAGAGGGTTCCCAGAGAAGGGCCTCTGCCTCCGATCTCAGGGAGTGGGGCGGCACATAGGGAAGAAGGCGCTCCTTCAGGTATCCAGGACCCAAACCATTTAGGGCCTTACCAACACCTTAAATTGGGCCCAGACTTCAACTGGCAGCCAGTGTAAGTGATATTTGTGACACATTCTGATATCCCTTCTTTAGTATCTTTAGGAGAGGGACACTCAGCAGGGATAAGGGAGGATGGCAGTGCCTGTAGTGAGGTAGGCAAGGTGTGGCTGGTTGAAAAGTCGGCAACCTTATAATCATGTCATGTTAAAAACAGCAACACCTCTCTCTCAGAATCAGTCAAATATATGTTGATTACATCTTGCTTGTGCTTTTTTTTCCTTCCCCAGATCTTAAAAAGGAAGATACAACAAGTAAGTAGCTCAGAATCTATATTTTAAAGGATATATTATTGGCATTTCTCATGTATGGCATTTTCTAAGTTAAGATGGAAACTTGGTTTGCAGTCTCTGTCTCCAGGTGGCTGCAGGGAGATCAGAAACATTTGTATCTGTTCCCAGCTAACTATGGTTAGTTGAAAATGGTTGCTATATCTGGACAAATTGTGGTTAGTGTTAACTATGGTTAATGGAAACAAACCAACTTCAAACCCACATTATTGATCCTAGTTAGTTTCAATAAAGCATCCTCTCCTACACCTGAGGGCAGCTGACAAGCTTAGTAAGTTGAGGAGAGACCACATAGCACATCCTGTGCTCTCCTTCAACAGGGGCAAATGTCTGGGATTAGCTCACATGGAATGGCTTTTGCCATTCCTCTCACCCTTCCAGCATTTGCTCCCAGCATTGGCTCCCTTTCTATGGCCAGTCCGCCAAGTTTGCTGGACCCCACAGAAAGATCCCCCAAATCAAATGGGCAAATGAAATTAATGGTAAGGCCAGCTCTGTTTCTTAAAGGAAAGCTCTGCAACTCTCATACATGCAAGAGTAAATAAGATTTGTTCAGCCAAATGGAATGTCTTCTCCACCCTTTTACCATTTTGTTTTAATTGTTTTCTTCAGCAACCTGTTACAAGGGCAATGGTCTCACCTATGAAGGTTCTGTCAATGTCACGGCCTCTGGCATTCCTTGTCAGCAGTGGAGTGAACAGGTAAGAGAGAGTTTGGAATCAGAAGGAGGGTTTGGCATAAAGCAAGTTTGAAATTATGTTTTCATCCGTGGTAAGGATCACATCCAGTAAAGTAGGAAGGAAAGTAGGAAGGAGAGTTTTTCTAAATAAGAATTGAGAGAGAGCGAGAGTGCTGAGCTTTTGTTCCTTTCACATTTAGTTTCTTTTTAAGACCACAAAAAGTTGACCTCTTAAGCTGCCTTATCTCTGTTGAGCCTGGAAATGTGAACTGTGAGGACTACAAAGGGACTAAAGTGGGGGACACATTATTGACAGATAGCAATGAAGATTTCCCTTTGACCGCTTGAAGTGAACCAACCCAATCTCCCTCTCCTGCACAAAGGATTACAACAGGACACCGTGACCTTTGAATTCCACATTTCTCTAAATTGTGTGCTGTAGTTCTCAGATAAAAGATAACTGAAAGACTCATGAATATGCTTATTCTAGGATAAAATATCCTAGAAAGAGACATTCAAAAATTTAGCTTTATTTTATTTGTGTGTGTGTTTAAAAATTCATAGATTGTGGAAATTGGATGGAATGGAATTATGAATGGATGCATGCAAAACTGACATAAACCCTAAATATACCAATCCACCCATAATGGAAGCCCATTTTGAGAAGGAGATGGTGATTAGTGGTCCAGCGTTCCATTCCTCCTTGCCAAAGCTTTTGGCAAGGTGCTGATTCAACACATTTCTTTGAAAAACAGTTGTCTGCCATATCTCTGAAAGAGTTGAAAATGACAGTCACTCTGAATTTTTTATGCTTATTATCAGTTTGTAGATACTGTTTCTCATTTTAAACAAATCCTGATTATATTATTCCTCACTGCAGGTTCCTCATTCACACAGAAGTACCCCTCAGGTTTTCCCAGAGCTGTCCAAGGCAGTCAACTATTGTCGAAATCCAGGGGGTGAAAATTTGCGGCCTTGGTGTTACACAATGGACTCATTTGTAAAATGGGAATACTGTGATGTACCTCACTGTGGAGATGGTAAGGGGCCGTAAAGTAGAGTTTGCAGCAGGATAAGCTGTGTGAGTGAGAATTTGGTACAGTGTGAATGCAGTCCTGTGGGCTCAGAAAGCTGTGGATTCGTTCCATTCCATGTGAGCCATTTCCTTGTGGATTTGCAAAAGAGGCAGGTTCTCAGTATCTTCCTATGTCCTTCTGTCCGATACTCCACTAACAGTTTGGTCCCTAGCTAGCTTAGGGTATTTCTGGATGAAGGACTTCAAGGCCCACCAATCAGAAAGCAACGTGCAATTATTTTGTCTTTTCCTCCTTCGTGGATTGTCTTTAGTAAAAAAAAAAAATTGGAAGGAGCACCGAGAAAACATGGGAGAACTAACCATGGTTCCAAATTTGGGAGGGCCCTTGGGCAAGGCAGACTAAATAGGTCCCTTCTCTCTGTGAGGCTTGCTTCTCAGCACCGTCATCACCAGCTGCCATCGTTCCCTCTTGCTAGTGGTTGCTTACTCGATGGGCAGAGAGCCAGTGAGCAAGGAGCGAAGCCATGGTATCCACTGCCCCGCTTCTCTCCGCACTGCAGTCTGGGGCAGAGAAGGAGGCAGGTGAGCAAGCAGATGGCAAGGTGCAGAGGAGGAACATGTCCAGGGCTGGTCCTGACTGCCCCCTTCCCTGTGAAATTCCATGTAGGAGGCACGAGAAAAGTCTTGTTTGGAAGACAATTTCAGCTTGTCTTCTGATTTCCGATCTCAGAGCCCGGTTGTGAGGGAGGTCCCCAGAAATGTTACAAATGCCTAGAGGTCATTTCAAGGCCAGAACTCATCAGCAGAGGAGGCTCGAGTCCCATGCAACAGTTCCCCCAACATGCACCTGTGTTTGCCTCCTAAGGACATCACGGGCTCAGAATGCCAAGGGGGTTGCTCCACGCTGAGCAGAGTATGATAATCCAGGGTTAGTCAGTGTTAGTCACACCTCACTAGGTAGGAGTTCTGTTTATCTGAATTGTGGGATCACTTTAATTTCCACTGCATTGTGGCGATGCCACAAGCGCCCACCTCAGCGAGTGCCTCTCAAACACAATGCATCATTCTTTGTCTGTTTTAGAATCATTGCCTCAAGGAACAACGAAGGCGAGTGTGCCGACTCCACATTTCCCTTTGACTTCCTCATTCTCCCCAACGTATTCCATGACGGTCATCATCTCCATCATTTCCAGCTTTGCAATGCTTATCATGCTCATCATCACTGCTCTTGTTTGTTGCCGGAGACACAAGCAATGGAAAAACAAGACCAGGTGAGATCTCAGCTTTCCAGGATATAATCACCTTTAGGGAAACTTGTCAGTACAAGTCCCCTCTCTGGTAACTTGAGGAATGCAGACATAGAGACACTGCCATTTAGAGATACGTTATATTTTCTAATGCTCATATTAGGCGATATTGGTCCTTTTAAGCACAAAGCCATATTTTAGCATGATGTGCATGAGTGCTGGCAAGTTGTGGGCTTGTATGGGCCAAGCAGCCCTTCTCTCCTTCCCTACCTAGGCTCCGAGGAGCCTGTGCTCCCCTTTTGGATTAATCACAATTTGTTGTGTCATTCAAATCAACAAACTGTGGCTAATGTTAACTCTGGTTTGTTTGAAACCCACCAACTTGAAAACCAGCATCTTGAACTTCTCATGGAGACAGTTTGAGGCTTACTTAAGGCTCATTCACATCATATCATACGGTGCTTTAACGTGATGCCCAAACATAGTAACAGCTCCACATCTGAATGGTTCTCTCCCTGGCGTGAAAATGGAGCTCGCTCGCTCTCCTCTACCTAATGTCTTCCTCTGTAAATATACACGTCTCACCAAGTGCAAAGTTTCCATTTTGATTTAGAGGTCAAGCTGGCATTGCACTTCAGATTCTTTGCACATTCCTAGGACAACACAATGGAAAAGAAGTCCTTGGCAGGGAGAGACCATGTGCTGGCCATAGTCGGTCTGGTCCTCTTGGACACGCCAGTTAGTTATCTCTGTGAAAACAGCTGCTATTTGCAGCTACGGTTTCCGAAGTTTTCTGTGAAAAAGGAACAAAAAATCAGCTCCCAGAGGATTAACAGGGAGACTGGTGTGTGTGTGTGTGAATTCTCAGCAAGAATGAAAGGCCTGCTATTAGATATATGTGATGTTCGACTGCCGCAGAGCAGTGTATTTTAAGAGCATTTGTTGTGGTTACTTTTTTATACCTCATAATAACTATAGCAATGGTGCCAATGCGGCTTACGTAACTGCCCCCTTTTAAAGGACAGAGAATGTATCCCTGGCATGCAAACTTATATATAGGCAAATTGTTCAAAACAATGGCCACTCTCCACTAGTGGGGTATCGCAGATCTACATGCTCCCAAGGAATAATTACAGGGAAAGGGGCTATACCTCCTCTCCTTCCCTAAATGGTGCTATATTTATGGGATATAAATAACTTCTTATCAGGGCTAGCATCAAGGGTGGACAGGGCTGGGCATCTGCCGGAGGCCCACATGAGAAGGAGCGGTAGCAGCTGGTGGTAATGGCAGTGAGAAGGTCGACTTACGAAGGGAGAGAACCTATGGAGGGTGTGCAGCAAGGGGCTTCAGCAAGGATCCCGTGCTGTATAATATTCTGATTGTGTGCAATCAGTTCTGGATATTGATCAGTTTCCTCTGCAGACTGGGTCTTGCAGACCAGCGTTTTTAAAAGTTGTCTGCAGACAGGACGTTGCTTTCCATAATCAGGCACATATGTATCTATTTCTCCACTGTTTAGGGAGTCGGCGCCACCAGCCCTGACGACTCTTCCCTCCGAGCTCTTGCTGGACAGGTTGCACCCCAACCCCATGTACCAGCGCATGCCTCTGCTCCTGAACCCAAAGTTATTCAGCCTGGAATATCCGAGAAACAACATTGAATATGTGAGAGATATTGGAGAAGGAGCATTTGGACGGGTCTTTCAAGCAAGGTAAATGAGCAGTTAACTAATCATGATGTACAGCTGTCAGCTAGTAATTTTTGTTTAAATACAACCCAGGGGTACAAAAAGAAATATTAGAAAAAGTGCAGCTATTTGAACACATTAAGTAATGAATAAATGGCTTCCCTCTGTCAAGAAGTTATAGTGCAACAAGCATTGTGATGGATAAATAGTAATTAACACTATTTGTTAATAAGTGTCCTTAAGACATATTCCTATGCAAGATTAGACAGAACAAAGGGCTATAACTCCCAGCATGCCCCAGCTAGGCTCTGGGCTGGTTGGGGCATCCTGAGAGTTGTAGCCTTGTTTTCAGGCAAAACCTGCACAGGACTGAACCTTTAATTTGCAGTATTATCCTGTACATATCTATTCAGAAGCAAATTCCACTAATTTCAGTAGGCCTTACCCTCAGATAAGTGCATATAGGATAAAGGTGATGGTGATTTATATCTGTGGGTATTTGATCTAGCCATGAAGTTTGGCTCCTTTATGAAATACCTGAAATGATTCACATCAGGAACAGATAATGATGTCATAAATCTTGAACCTTAAATCTTCAGAAGAACTGCGTGACGTCAAAGTTTGATTGCTCTTGTATAGTGCCTAACATGTGACAGTAAGAAGGGCAGAATTCATCTCCATCACTGGTTTCATTTTGGCTTATTATTTATTCATTTTTATTAATTTAAAGTTTTTCTATGCCTTCCCATGACTAAAAGTCTCTGGATGGCTTACAACAAGCAAAAAACCAAAGAACAAAGATCCATAGCAACTATGATGTTAACAATTATGAATTAGTTGCAGTACAGAGGATGTGAAAGATGGTTAAAATAGAGTTTCACCATAATTTTAAAAAAGAGAATGCATTTCTATAGGAAGCCATTTCTGTGTTCTTTACAGTTTGTTGGTCCGATTGCAGAAAATGAACTGTGAATTGCATATTCATCACCTGCATCAGGTGATGACTTGCAGCTTTGAAGGACCCACGCTTGGTAGAACAGTCCCTGCCATGCATGGAAGGAGCCTTGCTTTGAGTGGGGCCATCACTGGAGGGGAATGGAGACCTTAATGCTACAGCAAGACCTTCTAAAGTGTTGGCCCACAGGAAGAGATGCTTCAGGCAAGAGGATGACTTCCACTGGTCCTACTGGCAAAGGCTATAGGCAGAACTTTCCTATTGTCTGGCATCGCCCCATACGCCCACTGTGTCAGTGGAGGAAGCTTTTCACTCAGCTGACAGGCACTGAACATCCTGTCAGTGAGATCAAACTTGCAGATAAGAGGCACAAAAATTTCATTTCAATTCACAAATCATCAAAATGTGCTGTGCTCAAAGCCCCAAATGTGGACACAAATAAAAACACGTTTTCCCTGAAAAAACTTGTATATTCCTGAATTTGCAAACTGAATCTGAAAGATGCTGATGGGGTGGGGTTGCGGGGGAGGCAGGGGAGGAATCGCATTTCCATGCTTCAGTCAGTGTGTGGGAGGGAAGTGCACATGTTTGAAAAGGGGTTTGATAAATGCTCCATCGTACCGTTCAGTGGCCTGAAATGGCTGGGAAAAGAGGGCGGTCTTTGTTCTGAGCTGAAAACATCGCAGAGGCAACTGTAAGCTGTGTGTGCACATAGAAGGCAAGCGGAGGCTGCCCAGGCCTCAGGTGTGACTCCTGATGTTTCCCATGGAGGTAGAGTAGTCTGACTGGAGGACAGCCTTCTCTCTGAAGAGATGGATGCAGAAGTTGTTCAAAGCTGCTGCAACTTTAAATATATCTCATTTACCTTCCTTTAAACTGAAAATCAGAGTATAAATAAAGACAACAGTATCCTTTATTGGCAGCAGGCAAGTCACAAACCACTCACCTGTTCCTTCCTTAAGGTACAGAATACATAGCAGGCGCATTCATCTGTTCCTTCCTTAAGGTACAGAATACATAGCAGGCGCATTCATCTGTTCCTTCCTTAAGGTACAGAATACATAGCAGGCGCATTCGAAGAGCTTTCTTCTTCTGAGCCCAAAAGCCCTGGGTGTCCCAGGAGGCAGAGGGCAAAAGGCCTCTGTCTTCCCTTTAGTGGAGACATTTGCAGGGAATTGTGTTTGCCTTGGTTGCAAAGCTACACAGACCTGAAGTGCAGCTGCATTGCTCTCCTGGAAGATTTGTTTTCGGAGGATCCATTTGCCATTCTTTGGCATTTGGCGATGATGTGACATTTACTGCATCCAAGTGCACCTGTCCTGCTGCCATCTGTCCGGAGCAGACACAGTGCAAACTGGAAGTTTGCTTTGGAGACTCGAACTTCCTACTGCTACCGAACAGTAAAACAGCCTGACATTTAAACAACAGCTGAGCAAGTTGGCTGCATGTGGCCACTTCATTCCCAAGGCGGTTATCATCTTATATATCCTATCGCAGATAGGCTCAGCCTCGACAGGATGCAGCGTACTCACCGGCAAAGCTAAAGGCCCATGCAGATGCAGAATCTCAACTTCACGAAGCACAGCTTGGAGAGAGCCGCTTCACCCGTCGCAGGATGCAGGGAACAGTTTGCCTGTGCAAGTCTCAGCCCGTGGGCAGAGAGAGCCTCCTAAAACACGAGTCTGCCTGCAAACCTGCAGACGGTGGTTCAGAGTGGACCTGAACGTGACGCTCATGTTCTGTGCCACTTTCGTGTAGACAGAACAAACTGCTTTTCACTCAGCCTCGTTTCCTCTGCTCTTCTCCTCTTAGGGCGCCTGGACTGCTTCCCTATGAGCCATTCACGATGGTGGCCGTGAAGATGCTCAAAGAAGAAGCCTCAGCAGACATGCAGGCTGACTTTCAGAGAGAGGCGGCCCTCATGGCTGAATTTGATAATCCAAACATTGTCAAACTTTTAGGTATGAAAGGCACTCCCCCCCCCCCCCGCCCGCCCATATTGTCAACCTATATTTTAAAATTCTTTTTTGGGATGCTGGCTCAGTTGCACAGACAGAGTAGGCAGTCTTCTAGGGTTGCATCTTGAGGGAGCAGCTTTCGTGTCCGAAATAAAACACTGAGACTTGCTCTCATGTTGCTCCTCTCATGTCTGGCTAGCCAGAATCCTGCTAAAATCCCTATCATGAGAGACAGAGTTGCTGGCACCCCATGCCTCTTCCTTCCAGAGCAGAGTTGAAATTTTTCCAGAAAACACTTTTGTGAGAACATTTCTGAGAGTTTTCTTTTTCTCAGCAGGAAAAAAAGATCAGAGGATATTTTCTCTGAATATACTGCACCAAGTTTTGGAGTAGACACCTCCTCCCATTCCCAGAAGTCTAGGACACTGGAGGAAGAAAGGCAGGGGCCAGACTGCCAATGCAGTTGCTGCTGCTGTCAGTTGCAGAAGCAGCAAGAACAAACCTATGGACGAAAAAGAAAGAAGTTGAGCTGCTTCCCATGCTGGGGAAATTGTTGGGGGAACTTGAAAAACAGATGAGGAATTTCTCCTCCACCTGGAAAAAATGCAGTGAAATGGTTTCCCAATTCCTTGGCCCACAAATAGTGTGGGCAATTTCAAGAGATGTTACGCATATGGCTTTCTTCCTTCTTTCTGATTATGTCTAGCACGGTGTCCTGCATGCATTGTTTGATGCTATTGCATGGTGCGTTTCTTTTTGTCCTTCTCACATCGTGGACTGTTGCATTCACTGTTGTAAGTCTCCCCACCTGAATATGATTGCTGCTAATGATAAATCAAAATCAATGTTTATTTTGATGGAAATATTATCAGGCAAGCAATTTTGGGGTCAGAGGATTGAAGTTGCAGGGGGAAATGACTGCATAAATGTCAGTAGGAAGAGGACATGGGAAGTGGACAATCATTTGAATGAACCCTTTGTTTATTATCACCATGCTGGATAAATTAGGAAAGGCCAAATGGCTACATGAGTTCTGTGTTGCGGGGGTGTGGGACTGTTGAACATCTCTTGATCTAAGACCCTTTTACACACATACTGTTCTTTTAGCCAGGCCCAGATGTTTTTACAATATAAAATGGTGTTTGTTTTCCCCCAAAAGACAAGACTGAGACCACCGGCAAAAATTCAGCTTAAGCTACTGAATGTGGCAGGGAGTGTTGATTAGAACACCAAAGGTGCACAACGTTGACACTGTTTACTCAAAATTCATTCTTCAATTTTCCAGATGTAAAGCAGCAACAGTTTAGTAATATACATAGAAAAATGCGCAATTGCATTATTATTTATTGCATGGGCAGAGTGATCCTGTGGCCCCCTAGACAGTGTCTAAAGGGCCATGGGATATTTTGGAGTTCCAGTTCCAATGCTGGACTCCGCATTCAGAGCACTCTACCCCCAACAGCTGGCATGGAAGGAAGCATGCTGGCTCCTTTTCCAAAGTTACAAATTTAACCTTAAAGAAGGGAATGTGGGAGTGTTCCAGGACAGAGGAAGAGACTGGTGCCAAAATAAGCTGTCCAGTTGCTTTGCAGGATGGCAGAAGCACAGAGGTGACCCATAGGATATGCATATCCCTATGAGCTCAGAGGGTTAAGGGCACCTCCATAGCACTGGGTCTTAAGTACTTAATTTCCAACAACAACAACAACAACAACAACTCTTGGAGATGTTGCGTGAACTTGAGTGATCACTCTGCAGATACTTAGATGTTCCTTCATTTTTATTGTTGTGTCACATTTGTTCGTTTGTTTATTAGATTTCTATCCCGCCCCCTAGCCAAAATGGCACTCCAGGCGGTTTGCAGAAAATATTAATAGAATAAGAGCAATATACATAATAAAACATAATATAAATTAGCCAAACTACCACATAGAAAAGTCACATCATCAAACACAGAAAAGGACCCCAGTAAAACCAGACAATAACCTCAGTTCTTAAACCATTAACACTATTAAAAGACACAGCAGTGCAAGACATAATAAATACCATAAAAACTTTGAAATTATCCAAATCATTAAAATATGGGTGAATAAAAAGGACTTCACCTGGTGCCAAAAAGAACAGAGAGAAGGCCTCAGGCAAACCTCTTTGGGGAGCTGATTCCAGAGTCAGGGTGCCACCTCCAAGAAGGCTCTTCTTGTAGCCACCCTGCTGATTTGTTTCAGAGATGGGTCTCTGAGAAGGACCTCCAATGAAAACCTTAGGGCCCAGGTAGGCATATAGGGCCACATGCTCCTGGTATCCAAAGCCTGTTACATCACTCAGTCATGGCTAATTCCAATGTAACCAAAAGTTAAACAGAAACAAAAATGTGATCCATTATTCTTATTTCCGCCCCTGAAGCAGTTGAACTGGGAAAATCATGCTCAATAATAATTGTCAGACTTCCAAATAAGGGTCATGCACATGCAGGAAAAAGCTGTGATGACTGCTGGAGTGTCATTTCCTACTTTGAGCAGTGGGACAATGTTTACTTTTTATTACTATTTTGTAATTTGAGAAGGCTGAAGAGCCTTCAAAGGAGAAATGGTGGAGGAAATATGTTGAGTGACAGGGTGCATTCAAAATGGTACAGGGAGGCAAAGAAGGAACTCATTGTTCACTCCCCACCCAGGTCGCTCACACCATTCATAAATCCGTTCACATGCAGTATCTACATACGCAAAAGCTGCACTTATAAGGTGAGAGTCCCATTTTCCCAGGGACTCAGCATGAAGATCAGAGCTGCAATTAATCATCCTATTATAGGTCACTTCGCTGAAAAAGTCATGAAGCTTTTAAAAGGAAAGGTGAGGAACTTATAGTCCCAGTGCTGGGAAAATGCAGTTTTCATACACCACCTAGGGAAATACAAGGTGGATCCCCCTTTCCTAATGAGCATATTTGTGGATGTCATCTGTGAGTGGAAATGCCCTCCACAGTTTTTTTTTTTTTTTCATTCTTGTGTATCCTGGCATGTTAGGTAGCATGCACACAAACTTTTGCACACCTGTAAATGAACTCTGTTCTTTATTTAACAGCTGTTCTTGATTTCAGGGGTGTGCGCTGTGGGAAAGCCAATGTGTCTGCTTTTCGAATACATGGCCTTTGGGGACCTCAACGAGTATCTGCGCAATCGATCACCACGCAACCTGTGCAACCTAAGCAATGGCAACCTTGACATAAGGATCCGACCCTCCAGCCCAAACTTGCTTGCTCTTTCCTGCATTGACCAGCTCTGCATTGCAAAGCAGGTGGCAGCCGGAATGGCCTACCTGTCCGAACGCAAGTTTGTGCACCGGGACTTGGCCACCAGGAATTGTTTAGTGGGAGAAAACATGGTGGTTAAAATAGCTGATTTTGGTCTCTCCAGAAACATGTACTCTGCAGACTATTACAAAGCAAACGAAAACGACGCCATCCCCATACGATGGATGCCCCCCGAGTCTATCTTCTACAATCGCTACACAACGGAGTCTGATGTTTGGGCTTACGGTGTGGTCCTGTGGGAGATTTTTGCCTTTGGAATGCAGCCCTATTATGGGATGGCTCACGAAGAAGTCATCTATTATGTGAGAGATGGCAATGTCCTGTCTTGCCCAGAGAATTGTCCATTGGAGCTCTACAACCTCATGCGCCTCTGTTGGAGCAAGCTTCCTTCTGACAGGCCCAGCTTTGCCAGCATCCATCGCATTCTGGAACGCATGTATGAGAGGGCAGTGATGGCTGAGAGTGCGTGAGCCAGGGCGGCGCCAAGTGAGCTCTTCCTGGGATGATCAGGCTTGGATCAAGGAGGGTGCTTGGGCCTCATGGCCATGACTCAAGGCAACAGTCCCAGTGGAAAAGTGAAGCAAGCGAGGACTTTTGCTTGAGCGAAGACTTGAAGAGTCAGCCCTGCATTTAGAAACCAAACTAAACACCTCATTCTCAAAATGTCACACTTTTATTTTCTTTTAAAGCTTGTTTTCAGGGTGTTCTGTTTTGCCAAAAGCAAAAATAAAATTCCAGCCTACATAAATTCCAGTGCTAAAAACAAGATCGCAATAAGCTAACACAGCAGCCAAATCACAAACACAAAAACAACTGAAAGAGCAAACCCAAAAAGCAGCTGCATCAAGGCTCAGATTAATTCTAAAAACCCAGCTCCAATTGCCTTCCAGGTCTAGAAGGTCCTCACTGCTGATTTTAAACGTCTCCATACCTTTGGCTCCTTGCCATTGCCTCATCCCAAGTCAGAGCAGCTCGGTATTGTCTGCTCTTTATGGGAAGTGGTTCTCCAAGGACTTTGCCTATTGAGCTGTTTCCAGTCCTTCTGCTTGAGACCCTTGGAGGGATTGCACTTTGGGCTATCTCAGAGCATGTGCTCAGCCACTGAGCTGCATCCACTCCATAGAAGTGGATGGGGCTAGTCTATTGAAAGTGGTTTGAATCCTGCAGCTATATGGGATGAAATGGAAGGAGTATGCCCAGGTCAGTGAGAGCTTTTGTGTCAGAAATGCTGAAAAAGACAGCTTTGTTGGAAGGAAAAGCCTATTGCTTTCAGGTTGCATTGAAGTTCCTCTTTTCAGTCCTGGATTTGTTGACCTAACACGTGCTGAATTTCTCCATAGATTACAACTTATTTAGGTCCCCAACTCTACCCCCACCAACTAGAGAGTTCTGCTCTTGCAGAGGTGTGAACCTATCTTATCCAAATGGTTGCACAAATAGTCACAGTAGTAGCCGCTCTTTGGTCAAGTGATCTTTTACAGATTTTTCAAGAAACAGTGGCTTGCAGGGCCAGATGGTCATCAGATCCCAAATAATCCTACCTAGTTTATATGATGGGACCCACCGTAACAGCTGCAAAGATGGTTATTATGGTTATTAGATAGCACATCAAAGTCAATTAAAGCTGAAGAAACATACCCCCAGCTAAACAAAAGTTTGTGTTTCTTTTCTGGTACCCTCTCATGTCTATGGTCTCCCACCCCATCCACACATTTTTATAGTTTGCATTTTTAAAAAGTTAAGCCTGAGCCTTTACATTAGAAGTATAAAGTACAATACCATGAAGGGCAAGGTGCAAGGTCTCACAAGGATGCTACAGGTCCTGGGAGACCCCTCATTTCTATCATGCACTCCCTCTGCCTGCATTGGTCACCCCTGACCTGCTGCTCAGCCTAGTGGGCATCACCTGGGTGTACTCATGGTTATATTGGGTATATTGATTCAGCATGCCTAATATCCAGCCACTTCCATCTGGCCATTTAAAGGCCAGTCCAAAGATCCCAGCTGGACAGGAAGATGGCAATCATGTGGGAAGGGCCCATAGGACTGCTCTTCCGTGTGGGTTTAAGTCTGGTGAAGCCAGACATGGAAGAATGACTCACATACCCACAGGGGAAGGGCTATGCCGGAAGTTTGTAGGAGAACCTGCTGCCGTCCAAACCACCCTACTTAAAGGGATTGTGATAGAGGCTGGTTTTGCTAAGGCACCATGCTAGCATGTTCCACTTCAAGCTGGACATCAATTGTTCCGTGTCAATTGTTTTCTTATTGTGTCCCAAATTTTGTTATTACTTTTCAGCCTAGAGCCCTACACACATACAGGTGTGAAGACAGTTTATATGTCCATAAAACAAGTCAGGTAC